TTTCACATTTCAAAAATCAGATTTTTTAACCTATACATATACATATATATAAATAATAAGTTTTATATATAAATATATAAAAAGATATAGAGATATATATATAATATAATATAATTAACTCATCACATCTCCGCCACCCTGCCGCTTCGACAATCGTCCGGCAACCATTCCGACAAATATTTCGACGACTGCTCCGACAATTCTCGAGGAAAGCTTTAGATCGAGCGACAGAGCTATGGTTTCAACCTAAGGGCATCACCAATTGAATGGTTTTAGGGGCTGCTTGGCCCCCAATTTGTTCTATGAGCTTGATCGAAGGTAGGGAGGGAGACGACGGCATGAGTCCTTCATTGGTATAGTTTGTTTCAACTTTTAGGTTTGTAGGAGAAAGCTTTGGATAGGGCGGCGATGCTAGCATTTCAACCTAGTGCTACAATCAATTGAATGAGTTTAGGGGCTATTGAGGCCCCCAATTTGTGGCTTGAGGATGGTCGAGGTAGGGAGGCAACTATAATGTGATTCTATTGTCGTTGTAGTTTGTTTCAAGCAATTTGGATACGATGTTGTGGGGGTATAGGCAGTGGTGGTGCATTAGAGATGGTGGTAGGGATTGTGAGTCTGGGGACGGTGACGTCAATTTGCATAGTGCATGTAGTGGTGGAGTGGGATGGGGTGAGGTGAGATGAGATGAGGTAATCGAGATTATGGGTAATTTGTGATCAGTTATTTGGATAATTATGCACTGTTAATTTGATAAATTATAATCAATAAATAAGTTGTGATCAGTTAATTGGAAAGTTTGTAATCGACTATTAAGTTGTAATCTATAAAAATTTTGACTTGTGACTAAATTTATAATTATGAACCACATTTTGTGTGTTTGTGATTGTGATGTGATATGATTTGTGACTAGTACGTAATTGTGATCATATATCAAAATAACTTTATCAAATGGTCACAAATATGACTACCTAATTTATATTAGAAAGTGTATATTGAAATTATAGTAATTATATATTTTTCCCTTTCTAAAAATACAAAGAATTGAGCAAAATACCGATTTCATAGAGTTATCTGTGTTGAAAAATGAGTTACATACGTATTTTTGGAATAAAAATAAAATGCAAAAAGTAAAAAAAACTTATTGAATGATTGAGATCCGCGACAACACGATCTCAACTACTGCAATTTCTTTGAACAATCGCTTTCAGCTTTAGAATACAAAGATATAATTATTTATTCAGCAATAACAAGTGATTTACAGTAGTCTCAAGTATTGTTCCAAAAAAAAAAAAAAAAGTGAAATAATTCCACAATTGATTTTGTATAAAAGTGCATAAGATGAAATGATTTCAACGTGTTTTTCCAAGGAAAAGAAGATGTATATGCATAGCCACAACTTATAACTTCCACTAATAATTGGATCCGAAACTACTTCATATTTCTTAAAAATAAAAATAAAAAAATTAATTTCACTAAATTATCGCATCCAATCGTTTTCCTTTACTGGCTAGTTTGATAGGAATAAATCTAAAATAATTAAAACAAATAAAAAAAAATTCTCTTAATCAACAAGCTCGAAAGTCCAATCATAAACTATTGGACCGTGTTCGATTCCTACCTCTTACAAGGTATAAAATTGAACTTTTTGCGGGTACCAGTATGACAACTCTTATACCATGACATGTTAAGATACATTTCGTGATTTACCTCCTCCACAATGCTCTAGGGACGGGACCAGGCGGGGCGGGGCGGGGCGGGGAGGGACCCTCAATGTTGGAATTCAACCTTCATAAACTATTGGGTCGCGCTTTAAACTAGTACTTACAAGTTTACATGCTCATTATTATTGGATGGGTAATTAGTGTACAACGTCCATATTTTTCATTGTTATTGTAAGAAACGTCTATACCTTTTATTTTTTGACATTTTCGCTCATATTTTCACATTTCATTGTGTACAAGGTTATTTTCATCCATTTTATCAATTAAAAATTGTGAAATGACAAAAATACACTTTCCTTTAAATAAATAAAAAAAAGAAAAAAGAAAAAAAACTAATTGCAAATATAGTTCCAAATTTTTTGAAAAGCGCAAATGAGTTCTAGATAAATTATTAAAAGGGTAATAATTACATAATATCCATACATTTCACTATTATTGTGAAAAATATCCCTACTTTTTATTTATTTTTTGATATTTTCTCCCTTAATTATATTTTGGGACTAGTACTTATAAGTTTACATACTCATTATTATTGGATTAAACACGAAAATAATCCACGAACTTTCACCCTTTATTCCAAATCTATCATCGAACTGAATTTATTTCAGAATGATCCATGGACCTAGAATAAAAATTCCCATTCATCTCCAATTTCATATACAGATAACCAATGTAGCATATAGGTGGACGACTTTCTCCATTTCACTATCTTGCCCAGCATATCTAAGTCTTATATTCAGTTAAATCAAATATTGCAAAGGCTTATTAAAATATATTCGAATAAGCGAAGGCCTATAACACGCCCTTCAATTAGTAAGTGTTTTTTTTCTACGAAGCAAGGAAACACAATTGTACCCCTCGATAGTCTATTAGTACTAAGCTCAAGTGCCTGATTTGAAAGCTAATGGGCTGTTCTCTCCGTTTTAGATTGGTTTTAAGTGAAAAAAAAAAATCAAAACGACCTTTTTAGCGTTTTTAGTTTTCTTTGTGAACTTTAAACTCGTTTTTGGAAATTCGTTTTTCAAAATAAGTAAATAAACGTGTTTTCAATGTTTTCGAAAACTGAAAATTGAAAATGACCTGAAAACAACAAAGAGAACAGACCTGTATTGTTTAATTTCATAATAAAGAAAGAAAAGCGAGCGAACCACGGTGAATCCAAATGTAAAAACAGATTCTTGTATTGAACCAGCTTTGTTCCAAATAATCTTCAGATCCTTAATAATGTTTGCCATTTATCCCTAATTCAAAATTCTAACATATCGAGAAATAGGATCGTGTTTCTTCCCCTTCATGTGGAAATGTGACGAGATACAAAAGAAAGAGTTAAGATATCTTATAGCCACCCCGTTTGGACTACGTTAACACTTTTTTTTTTTTACTTTCTTCTTTTCAACTACACATTTTTCAATAAAATATTATTACACGTAAACGCAAAATTTGCTATTTTTTTGATTTTTTTAAAACATATTCTCAAAAAAATTATTATTTCAAAATACATTTTTTTCTTGAAAAGTCATTAAAATGGAGCCCGACTCATAAAGTATTGAATCACGCTACAATTACATAAGAGTTGACATAATTCTTGACATAATACCACGTGATATTTTATCATTTAACTGTTTAAAATACAATTAACTTTCACATCTGATCATATTTTGCCAACACTTATTATGTCAATCCATCTGTTAACATTTTTCTGTAATTATTTAAAGAGTTGAAATAATTATATATTTTCCACGTGGCTTAAGACGATCAGTGAAGATCACTGGGTTTGTTTGATCATCGGCGGGGCCAATGATTAGTTCCTCGTTTGGGTGATTGGGTCTTCATAGACCGGATGTACTCAGCATTTTATGTGAGGCCCACTCGAATAGTTGTTTCAAGAAAAGATCGAGAATTTATAACAGTGGCAGTGTTGTTTGCTTCATCACTGATCCGCATTATAAAGGATCATACATCTACTAACAAATATCTTCTCGTTTAAAATATTTATTTAATCCATTAAAATTTAATTATTATTACAAATTCTTCTGATTTGATTCAGTCAAATTCTACAAAATTGAGTCTTTATTTCAGTGAATTTTCGAAAACTCAAGTCAGTGGAGAATCGGAAGTCAAGTGAGGATTCCTCGAAGGATTCAGAGGTAATTGGCTAAAAATATTGAATTCGGAAGAATAAATATGATCTTCGCAAGCTAAAATGAAGAGTTAATTTTTTAGTCAAAGAGATTCGAAGAAAGGGCCGGAAGATTTCAGAGCAAAAGGTATTTGGACTTTTTCCATCTGTTAGCGATTTTTTCTACGTGTTTCTGTGCTGTATACAAATTTTGGATTTATGGTAATCATACCTGATTTCGATTTTTAACTGTGTTTGACAATTACAGTAGATTATACTATTTATGCTTTGTATTTTCCACAAAGGGGTAAGTTGAAAAATTGCATCTTTTAAAATAACATAATTTCTCTTTTCACCTCAATGGTTCTACCGATGTTTACTTTTACCTATCCTGATAGTTTATATGATTTAATTCTTTCTTGATGTTTACTTTTAAATTAGTTTCAAATATGATCTGAATCTGCATAGGGATTATTCCAACTGAATGTGGAAAGTGTTTCCAATTTTCACTGTTTGAGGAAAAAGTGAAAAGCAAGAGTTTTCTCTGTTCTATTTACCTGCCTCGTGAAATTAATAGAAAGTGTGGTCAAAATATAACCTTGCAATTTCGTTGAAGAGAACGAATCAATGAGTAGTTACTTCTGTCTTTTATTTATTTCATCAATTTATTGTTAACGATCCAAGCGGAAGCAAAACGTAGTAACTATATCTTTCCAAAGGTGCTGATAAAGATTATGTTTCGCAAGTGTGCTAAAGCAAAACCACTCTTTATCCACATATATTGTGAGATCCCAAAGTACTCACTTATCCACAACTTATTTTTATCTGTTATAAACACTTGTCAAACATATGCTAAGTAGTAATACCGTGTTAGAATGATTGCACAGCAGGTGTTCAACTCGAGGGTGAAGTTAGTCTAGTCTATGTGCACATTTGAGGACCACGACTATAGATATGCGCTTGATAGTGTTACACTGATATAACCTTTATAATTATTCTTGGAATTGTTTCAGTAGTATGGCAATTCCAGTGGATCCCCCAGATGGGGTTGGATCTCGAGGGAAGCATTACTATTCCATGTGGCAAACCCTTTTTGAGATTGATACAAAATATGTGCCAATCAAGCCTATTGGACGAGGAGCGTACGGCATTGTCTGCTCTTCAATCAACAGGGAAACCAATGAAAAGGTCGCTATCAAGAAGATAAATAATGCCTTTGAAAATCGTGTTGATGCACTGAGAACTTTGCGTGAGCTGAAGCTTCTTCGTCATCTTAGACATGAAAATGTGATAGCTCTGAAAGATGTCATGCTGCCTATTCACAGGGGAAGTTTCAAGGATGTTTACTTGGTTTATGAGCTTATGGATACAGATTTGCATCAGATAATTAAGTCCTCTCAGATGCTTACAAATGACCATTGCCAATATTTCCTCTTCCAGGTATGATTCTGTATTTTAGTTATTATTCACCTCTCTTGTAGCTTCAAACGAAGTGATTGGTTATTTGTGAAGTTTGAGCAGATCATATCTGTGCAGACCAAGTAGATACTACCTGATCATTACACAATTCGTGATTCTATAATGTATGTTAAAATGGATAAATGTCTAGTAAGTTCTCGTCCTATCTCTGTGATTTCAACTACTCGTAATGGGAACCATCCATGTAAAGTCCCCACTAAAATCAAATAATCACATGGCAGTCTACTTGCATGGTTGAGATATGGTGAAGGCTGCAGCAAATCCATGGATATGTAAAAGAAGAACACAGTTTTAGCCTCTGGATTTGGCTATTGGATCATCAAAGTCTACTTACATGCTTCATGTGGTTTTGTACCACCTATAACTTTTTTCCTCTCCTATACTTCGATGCCATTATTTAGCTGTCCATATGTATATATACTTTAGAAGCATTTGATGAAGTCAAAGGCATTATTGTCACGACTTTTGGTCTAATGCTCCACGGACAAATATGCGCCTAGTAGTCTTTATAGCTATAAAACCCAGGAGAGGACTGATAGGACTATTTTGTTTATATGTGGATGAGCAAATCTAATTGTTGAATTCGGCTTAGGTCTTTAGTTTTACGATGCTTCACTAAGGCAGAGCATTATTTTGTTTCTTTAAGACCCCAAGGGATCACTCATGAAAATGGGACTTAATTACTTTCTTGATATCATTTTCATGATATTGACCTCTTTTTCTTTTTGTTAGTTAACATTTTATATCCTAAAATCTGTGAGAAACTTCCCCTGCTTCTGCCACCCTGTTGGGTTAACTCTTCTATGTTTTTGAAGACAGTTACTTAGAGGTCTGAAGTATCTACACTCGGCAAACATTCTTCATCGCGATTTAAAGCCTGGAAACTTACTTATCAATGCAAACTGTGACTTAAAAATATGTGATTTCGGGCTTGCACGTACAAATAGCAGCAAAGGTCAATTCATGACTGAATATGTGGTCACTCGCTGGTATCGGGCACCAGAGCTCCTCCTCTGCTGTGACTGTTATGGGACCTCCATTGATGTGTGGTCTGTTGGCTGTATCTTTGCAGAACTTCTTGGTAGGAAAGCCATATTTCCTGGTACAGAGTGTCTTAACCAGCTTAAATTAATCATCAACATCCTCGGTAGCCAGAGGGAAGATGATCTCAAGTTCATTGATAACCCAAAGGCTAGAAAGTACATTAAATCACTTCCTTTCTCCCCTGGAACCCCATTTTCTCGCCTTTATCCTAATGCCCACCCTCTAGCTATTGATCTGTTACAGAAGATGCTCATCTTTGACCCTTCAAAGAGAATTAGCGTGACTGAAGCACTTCGACACCCATACATGTCTCCCCTGTATGATCCGAAATGTGACCCTCCGGCCCAGGTTCCTGTCAATCTAGACATAGATGAGGATTTAAAGGAAGAAGTGATCAGGGATTTGATGTGGATGGAAATACTTCAATACCATCCAGAAGCTGCCACAGGTAACATGGATGTAAGACTCTGCACTTGAGTTTTCTACATTGCTTATGACAGGGCATTGGAGCTTGTTGGTTTCTGGCATCAGAACTTTTATGGTAATCTTGCTTTCTCTCTTAGTTAATTTTATAATAATGGAGACATTGATTTGAGCCGTTTGGTTAGTTTACGTACTTGTTATTTCCATTTGGAGGATGTTTTTAGGCGCAATGACGTGCATTTTAGCTTGTAAATAGTTTTTCGTTGAGAACTTCTCCTTGTACATTATTTATTATATGAGAGAACACTATCATGTCCATATTGTTCTGAGTTGGTAATGTGTATGGTATTTTCCCCTTGTTTATTTACTCAAATAGGGCTTGTGGTCATTGAATTGGAACACTAAAGTTGATACGAACTCAAAATAAATGAATGTTTTTGAATGCACAAATGTAAAAAGAAGCCCAAATATTTGAGTCCCAAAAATGGAGGCTTTGGATCTTCAAAGATAATTTCTTGTGCAAACCTCACACTAAGGGCCTAAGGCGTGCATGTTAACTCTAGCTCATTGGGCCTTGAATTAATGGAATCACATGTGGGTATTCTAAGATATACAGACATGAACTCAAAGAGTCCAGTGTATGTTCATTTAAAGACAATATTCGTCCCATGGAGATCAATTTACGAAATGGTAGCCGGCTAGCCAAGAATGGTATCGCGTGCTTCCAAAACAAGCAAATTATCGTACCCTGACCTCGCTTCTCTTTGTCAATGCTCACCAAGATCATAATGAGAGATGGTTGCCGGCTAACAAATATTGAAATTTGAATGCTCAATCGAGTCTTAGTTGGATGAAATTGCTAGTTTAAAAATAAATGAGTTATGATATCATGTTAAGACTTTAATCTTAAAAAAAGTAGTCCAAAATTTTATACGTAAGATTAATGCAACTAAATAACGTGAGTTGCTACATTAGCAATCGAAGCACGCAGACCGTACGTATTGGTTCCTTTTTTCCACACTGTGATGCAGAAGATTTGATCCTCTTCAAATCTCTTATCTCCACCAACGGTAAAGATGAAAAATAAATACTTGGCTCAGATGTTGCCTTTGTAATGAAGCAAGTTCCAAGAATGGATAACAAAACCTTTAGAAGCTAATTGGTAGTGACAAGATTACACACTCACACAGTTATATATATATATATATATATGAATATAAAGAGATATTACCACTTATTCATTGCAGTTTGTACCTGTAAGAGCTCGTTTGACATGATTTCTACTTCTACTTTTTTTTATAGAATGAACTTATCAAGAAAGCTACCTTAAATCAATTTTCTATAAAAGTTTTTCTAATTAAACAAAAAAAAAAAGAAAATTCAGACAATTATTTAAATATACTTGAAAACAACCTTTTAATCCCAGAATTAGTCTTTTCCTTTTCAAAAGTCTTGCCCAATCGTCCTAAAACTCTTATCTTGAAGTACTAGTTATCTACATTGGGCAAATGAGGTTTAAAGTTTGTCAACTTGTAAACAGTAAAAGAAAAATGTGTCACCACTAAACTAGTGCTTTATAGGTTTCCCAAAGCATCAACCTATTGAAATTTATGTACGTCCAATCTATGAATATTATGTCGTAGATTAATTATTGTTAATGTGCGGAGCCAGTAAGCGAATCAATCTATTGAAATTTCATCAAAGATAATTTAGAAATTTCATTTGTGCTATAAAAAAGAGGAGTTAGAAAATATAAGGTATGCGATTTCTCCTGTGAATTTTCTTTTCGTCATAGTTAATTACTGTAGTGACAGAAGATGACATAATCTTATATTTAGGTGAAACTCTATAAATGTTGGGTGTTCTTGCGTATCCGTTTTCTTTTTGTAATTGATTACTCTCGGCAGAATAAAATTAGGGTTTCTAGAATAATAAACTTTTTATAGGTAGGCATGAACACGATCCGATCTATTAATCGAGCATGCTTGTAAGGATACAATTGGTAAGGGGAAAAAAAAGGGTCGCAACCGAATTAAATAACATATTGTGAGATTGACTCAAAGTAAAACTCCTCAACAATAAAGTTGAAAGAAAGTAAAGCCGCTGCAACCCTTATCCCTTAACTACTACTAATCTTCTTTTAATATCTTGTAAGCCTTAGTTTTGACCCTTCAAAGTTCAAACCGACCATGTCAGACTAACGTTGTTGTAGAATAAATCAAATGTATATTTTATATGATAATAATTAAAAAAATAAGAAATAGTCTAATTGAAGTAATTCACGATAAGGTCGTGGTTTGGTTTATTTGACCTTAGCTTATCATTACTGGACAATCTTATATGCAACATTTTCTATGATAAGCAGATATTATTTTAAACATTTTATAAAAGGGTCCCTACAAATTCAAGTATGGAGAAACAAGTATCATAATGCACGAAATTAGATTCTTTTAGGATCTTGATGATTTTGATTAGTCTAATCTATTTATTTATTTTCTATTCTCACAAATGGAGCCGGGTCAACCTGTAAAAAAATTAAACAATTTCTAAAGTCCCATATAGGTAATGCCAAAGTTTTAAAATTCTCATTTTAGAGAATTTTATTAAAAAAATTATTTTAATAAATTTAATTTGTAGATAGAAATTCTATCATTGAATCAAATAATAAATATTATTGAATGTCTTTTCAATTAGTAGTACTAAAAATAACAATAAAACTAAATTTGTTGACATCGAAAATTGTATGAACAAAATTTAAGCCAATTTCAAGTGTAAATAAAGATTTTTATTGATAATTACTTACAAATTACAAGTGTTTTTATTAAAGGAAATATTTGAAATATGAAGTTTTTAGACTTCCTATCCCTCATTTCCCTAAGGATATCGTCATCCTTTTTATAGGAAAAGATGGGCCAGTATATTTCATATTCCTGTCTTATCAACAACAATACCAAGTTGGGAACTTGTGTCAATGGCTTAAATCATGATTGGTTGTTGTCAAATCAACATATAATACCGAGTTGGGAAGGTACGCCAATGACATCGATTGGTTGCTGAGGTGGCTCCATCAGGTTATCGTGAAACCCCCTTAAATTGGGTCCCCAGTAACTAATGAACTGATTAGAAAATGAAGTTATAGCATATAATTGGTGGAATTGGTGGCCGATGACGTAAGTCTTTCCAAATGTCATTAATTGATTGAATGGTTTGACAGTGTGTAAGAAATTTATAATCATTATGTCCCCTCAAACCACGGCGGTCATAAGTACGAGTTGACCTTGTAGATCCGACCTTAATTTAGCATGAGCTAAGTGCATATAACAAACAAATTTAATTAGGCCGCAGGTCGAATGTCAAGAGTTATCCCCTAGGTTGGTGCTTGCTTTGGTGACGGACTGACCTTGAACATGGTTGGCTCGTTTTTCCTTATTCACCATTATTATAGAAATGAATGGTTTGGACAGGTGTCCCAATCTGATTTGATGAGCTGTCACACGTCTTCAATAACTTCTTTTATAATTTTATTTTATTAATGAATGAATGTTAGTTCAGTTTTTATTCTCCGAAAAATGTTATTGCTTTTATAATAGAAATTTGTTTAAGTGTTGCAGTACATGCAACCTTAGTTCAACTTGCTAATGAGCAAAGTTTTTATAATTTCCTTAAGATGAAATTTATCTAAGTGTTGCAATACATGCAACCTTAGTTCGACTTGCTAACGAGCAAGACTTTTATAATTTCCTTAAGATGAAATTTATCTAAGTGTTGTAGCATATACAATCTTAGTTTGGCTTGTTAACGAGCAATGTTTTTGTGATTTCCTCGATAGGAAATTTGTCTAAGTGTTGCAGTACATGCAACCTTAGTTCGGCTTGCTAACGAACAAGGATTTTGTGATTTCCTTGTTAGGAAATTTGTCTAAGTGTTTCAATACATGCAACCTTAGTTCGGCTTGCTAACGAGCAAGGCTTTTGTGATTTTCTCGATAGGAAGTTTGTCTAAGTGTTGTAGCACATGCAACCTTAGTTCGGCTTGCTAATGAGCAAGGCTTTTGTGATTTTCTCTATAGGAAATTTGTCTAAGGTGGAAACACAGCAACCTTAGTTCGGCTTGCTAATGGCAAGACTTTTGTGATTCCCTCAATATGAAATTTGTCTAAGTGTTGCAGCACATGCAACCTTAGTTCGGCTTACTACCGAGCAAGGTTTTTAAAATTTCCTTGATAGAAAATTTGTCTAAGTGTATGTTTGATGATCTTATTGATTGCTTTAACTTGACCATTAGCTCGATGATGGTTTGGTGTGAAGAAATTCTTCCGTATGCCAAGTCCCTCGCAAAAACTTGCGAAGCGAGCATTGTCAAATAGCTTTCCGTTGTTTATCCCGATGGAATGAGGTATTCCAAATCTACACACATGGACTTCATATGAAACAGTGGTCTTTTGTTCGGTGATCTTAGCAAGTGGTTCAACTTCTACCCACTTAGCAAAGTAATCAACTGCAACAATCGAGAACTTCATTCCACCTTTTCCAAGGGGCATAGGCTAATTAAATCAACCCCCACTTGGAGAACGGCTAAGGAGCTATTACAAAGTTTAGCTCTTCCGATGGGAATTTGATGTTGGGAGTGAAGCGTTGACATTTATCACATCTTCTCATAAATTCTAATGCATCTCGTTTCATGGTGGGCCAAAAATATCCTTGACGCGTGATTTTATGAGCCAACGATTGTCCTCCGGAATTATTTCCACATACTCTTTCATGTACTTCTTGTAAAGCATAAAGTGCTTCCTCTTCATTCAAACATCTTAACAAAGGTATTGAATATTCCCGTTTGTAGAGCATATTGTCAATTAATGTGTACATTGCCGCTGACCTCATTCAGAGTCTTCTTGCTTCAATGGGATCTTTAGGACATATGCCCGTCCTTAGATAGGAACTGATTTTATCCATCCATGTAGGCTTGAGATCAATCATCATGGATGCAGCTTCTAGTCTTCAATGGCAAGATAGGGAATCCTTCATATGAGAATGCAGTCAAACTATTCTATTCCT